TCCTAGGGGTGGTGAAAAAAGGCTGCTTTTACGTGCACGCTCTCTGCTGTATACATAAGAGTGCAGCTGTCTAAGATTCATATTCAAGCCCTCACCCACCTCTTTACCTCTGAAAACAAAGCCGGAGAACTTTAAAATAATTTTTGCCACCTCCACCTTCACTGCAGATCATAAAGAAATGGGCAGTATTTAGTTGATACAAACTTTGTGCTTAAAGTTACGAAAAAATGAGCGGGCTTCCTTATCACAAGGTGTACTGGAGCCTGGAGTCCAGTGCTTGCTGGTGTTCACTCAGGCGCTGGAGTGAAGAATTCCTTCACTAGAGCAGATGAAAGCAAAAATGGTTAAAACCTAGTCTCCTTTCTCATTTCATCAGTCCCAGCAGAAAGCATTTGTGCTAGTCCACTCACCCGAACCCAGGTTTGTGTAACCCAGCTTCTCTGTCCAGTGGCTTGCCCCAACATCTGTAAACACCAGTCTAAGAAATCCGGACAGATAAAACGTCTGTTTTCTGTAGTATGCTAAAAACCGTGGCTTGCATCTCATACTCTGAGATTTGTTTGGGTTTTTTTTTTCCCTCATCCTTTCTCTGGAGGGGTAAGATTGTGCAGTGGGAGGAGTATCCTATCCTCTTTATAGTTTGGAGTTCTTTAAGTATGTGTGGTAGTGTGTATATTAAAGAAAACGACCAAATGCTTGGATGCAGATTCATCTTCAGACAAGACAGGCCTAGGCACCTAAAAGTTCCTTTTGTACTAAGGCAAATCCCATATCAAAATGTTGTATCTTCTGTTAGTCTAACTTACACAATTAGAAAAAAGGAAGTCGGGGGTGCATGCCTTTCCCTTGAAGCAGACAGTTTGTGATGAATTCTTTGAAGAATTTATTCTACACTCTTGAACTGCCTTCAAAGACTCTCCCTATCCCAGTATGACTTCCAGGCCCAGTGAGTGCCTGTGTGTAAGGCTGTCTTAGATCAGTGTTAGTTGTCACCTTTCCTTCTGGATTGTCCTTCTGCTCTTGCATTGAAATGGTGAGCCACATGCTTCCCTTCCTTTCATTCCCCTCTTATTGTTTTTCACCCACCATCCACTGGCTAGTTGCTGATCCTGGCTCCTTGCCTGGATTCTCGTTGTCCTTCATCGAACAGTCTAATGGTGCCGTGACACTTTCCGTGGTGAGATAAACTTTGCATGTGTGCCGTATTCACCACGTGAGGAAAGCAGAGGCTTATTTGGCAGTACTATTGAGTCTGCTTTCTCCATCCTCATCAGTACAGCTCCATATTGAGCAGAGACAAAATGCCTAACATTTAAATTGTTAAGAAAGAAAATAGATATGACACTGAAAGGTAAGAGAAAGCTCTCATTTTTTTTTCCGCCACTTTTTTCCCTTGGTGGTAGGCTGCTTTTGGAATACAGGGATGCTGACAGTGAGGTGAGGAAAGCTTGAGCTAGTCAAAGAGCTACCTGCTGCTACGAGGTGCAGTCCAGCTCCTGTAACTGTCTTTGAGAAGTCGCTTCAGCTTGCTAACCTACCAGGGATTTTTTTTCTTTTTCTTTTATTCCCAGACTATTTTTATGGTAGATTGCCAAACTGAAGAGTGTTCTGGGGTTAGGTGAGTACCAGAGCTGTGGAAGGGAAGTAGCAGTGGTGTGCAGCTGGGGTGGGATGG